TAATATAGTTTAATTATTATTGGTAATCGTCGTTCAATAGCCCGTAAGAGACGGTAATTGCGTGCGATAGGAACGATATTAACGTGTAATCGCTAACGATTAACATTTATGCGATTACACACGGCACGTCATTATATTGGCCGTTGAGAGCGTACGGCCGTGGCGGGTAAGGGGGAAGGAAAACTGCCGGGATATAAATGGGAATTAGTAGAGCATTCGCGCGAACAAACGAGCACGTACGTCAATGTGTTTGTGTATTTCTCTGTTACTCTACGTGCATCTACGTATGTATTTTCTCTCTGTCTATGTTCGCGCATGAAAATGTTCGTTCTCTTCGAGTACAACGATAGAAATAGAGGAAGAATCGTTCTTTACAAAACGCAACCTCTCGTCTCGTTTTGTAGCCGATTATGAGCTCCCTTAAATTCTCTCCTATCTCCGAGCTTTTCACCTACTTAGCGTGCGACACGGAATACTAACTCGACTCATTAACGATATTTTACTGGGATTCTGTCTGTTTCGAAGGGTTGCTAGGTTTCCCGATGTCTACGGAGAGAGACAGTGAGAGAGAGAGAGAGAGAGAGAGAGAGAGAGAGAGAAAATTCAATGTTTCAAAGAGCTAATAAATGGAAATAAATATTATTGTTAGAATATTATATAAAGTTAATCCTTTCGATATTATCCGACATCACAAAGAAAAAATATAGAAGACGAAACTCGTTTCGAGAGAAAATAGAAAAGAAAAGAAAAGAAAAAAGTGGAATTTCTTTTTTTGTAACGTGAACATTAAAGACGATAATAATTTCGATGAGAATACGAGGATGCAAAACGTTGAACATACGAAAGAAAATTGTCGCGATCGCGAGAATTGGCCTCGCGAATGGAGTACGACGTTTAAAACGATCAAGCGGCTCGCTAATAATGTATGCCACTCATTATGCGCACGCATCCTTTTCGTCGCAGCGTAAACTCGCTTTACGTTAGCCGCCGCGTGATTTACGATTAATTAAGCGCCGTTACCGCACCGCTACGTCTGCGAGCCATTTACTTTTCGACCAACCCCTCTGCGACCCACCGACCCCTCTCGTCATCGCGACACGATCGAAAAGGAAATTCAGCAAAACCGCCAACGACGAATAAAATGTTTCTCTCTTTCTCTCTCTCTCTCTCTCTCTCTCTCTCTCTCTTTCTCTTTCACTATGCGAAGAATTCATTTCCACCCTTGTTACACGTGATTTCTTTTACTTTGTTAGGAACTTTGTGAGCTCTAATTAGGGTAAACGATCGATCGCGATTCGACAGTGCGATATAAAAAGGAAAAAAAAAGAAAACAAAAAAGGAAACAATGAATAACCACGCGTATACTCATTTACGTTTTTAATAAAGTTTTTTTCAATCGAAGGGAGCGTCAAATTATTATCGATAATACGACCATTGTCGATGGAAAAAAAGAAAAGAGAAATCTTCTCGGGGAAGTATTATCAATGTTGAAATAAATGTAAGAAGAAAAGTAAGAGTAAACGGTGTAAGAAGAATAAGAGAAGGGTTTGGATGAGCGTGAACGAATATTCCGGTCATGCGTCAGAGGGTTAAGGAGAGGGCGCAGCGCTGCCCGCATTGATTTACGTTGAGGAGGATAGACAGCCACGGAGAGGTGAACGAAGAAGAAGAAATAGTAGAAGAATCGGAAGAAAAAGGAGAAGAAGGAAAAGCAGATGGAGGAAGTAAAGAGGGACATGAGATAGTAAAGCAAAAAGAGTGGGATAACCGTAGTCGTAGAATTCGAAGCCGTGTAATCGGAATGGTCGATCCCACTGGTCCTCTCTCGTCCCTCCAAAAGCATCTTTCTCTCTCTCTCAGACACTCTCTTTCTCTCTCTCTCTCTCTCTCTTTCTCTCTGACTCTCCCTCCCGTCCTCCTTTCCAAGCAACCCACCCCAGCTACGGTCGCGTGGATACGTGGTCGAACCACCACGAGGATATCGTATAATTATCGGATGGCAGGTAACTCGAACGGTCGCCCGGTTTTAATTGGCCAATTATCGTGGCGCGAATAGGCGCTGCCGCCGGTCCAGATAGGCGTGAAACTTTTGGGGTGGCCAGCTCACCGAGCGACACAACGCGACTTTCTGTGACGAATATCTTTTTCGTAGGAGGGCTGTCGTCGTGGGGTGAGGGGATTGAGAAAGGGAAAGAGAGAGAGAAAGAGAGATAGGGTGAGGTTGGCTACACGGTCTCGAAGCTCGATCTTCCCTTGGCGATATCTATGTCCTTGTAGGTACATGCGAGGGTGCAAATATACGTGTACCTATAAGATGTGGATGTGTGAACGCGCCCGTATATGTGCATGTAGAAGCAGAATCGAGATCAGAATCGAGAGCACGAACGGGCGCAAATTGGTCACGGCTGGTCTGTTCGATCTCGTCGTTCTACCTTCCTCTCTTTTCCTCCCCGATCTCGTCTCTACCTATCTATCCAGTAGCTATCCATTCACCTATCCGCCGGCCACCTAGCAAGCGAACGACCACCCCTTCGACAAGCGGTGCACCGTTTCGGAACTATTAGGAACACTCGCCTCTAGTCTATCCCCGGCTCGCTTTTGCCAGGTGGCCTAATCCGACGTTCGAAAATTCACCTGCGCCACAGACTTGTTTCCGACCCACCTATACAATCTCTACTTCCACCTCCACTTTTCTCTCCCTCTCTCTCTCTCTCTCTCTATCTATCTATCTATCTATCTCTATCTATCTATCTATTCCCTTCTCTCGTCTTTTCGCGTTTGACATTTAACGAGCGTTCTCTCATGGAGATTCGACACGAAAAAAAAAAGCAAACGATGAGTCTACGCTTGGTCTACGCTCACGAGAGTTTTCACGTCAGATTCAAAAGGAAAATCTCGATTTGGTGATTTTAACGAGCTACGTATTTATCAACGATATAAACAAAACAAAAAAAGTAATAATGAAAAAGAAAAAAAAAGAAAGACAAAAGATCGTTGGGCGTGCTTCGCGAAAAGGATCGATTGGCATCGATATAGGTATCATCGTACGATTGCCCGGAGTTAATTCGATGACGTGATACATAGTTGAATATATGTATATATATATATATATGTGTCAAGAGCGAATCGAGAGATTTACATCGAATGTATGAGGACGAACGAGAGAGATGCCGAGTATATTCAATTAGAGAGAGAGAGAGAGAGAGAGAAAGAGAAAGGGAGAAGAAGGGAGGTGAACGTGCAAGTTCAGTGTGGCAGGCTCATCTACCGGTTACGTTCGATTGGCTGGCAGGGCGGTAGGCCAGCAATTACCTAAATGGTCGGGTAAACAATATCCGTGCGCCGGAGTTAAGAGCGACGGCGGTAGCAGCGACAGCAACACTGGCTGTGCCAGTGGCGACTCGCTTTCGTTCGTCCATCCATCGGTGTGTTGATTTTGGTTTAGTTGTCTCTACTTAGTCTTCTCTCTCTCTCTCTCTCTCTCTCACACATACACACACACACACACTTAGCTTGAATCCAGGAGCAAAAGTGGAAGAGAGGGAGAGAGAGAGAAAGGAGAACGAAAACGGGATACTACGATTATATCCTGCGTGATTACTATACCTACGCTCAATAGAGTGATAAAGAGAAAGAGAGAGAGAGAGAGAGAGAGAGAGAGAGAGAGAGGGAAAATGATGGGTGCCGCCTCCAGCACGGTCACCAACGCGACGACACTAAACCGATAGGATCCAATAGCAACGATACTACCACAGTCAACAAGATCATTGCTAGAGCCTAGTGTAACTCGCAATCACGGACACAACGGTCGAGCAGCCAGCTAGCCAGCTAGCCAGCTAGCCAGGCTACGATTCCTCCGCATTCTCGACGTAACCGAAAGTGCGTGTGTTGTGAGGCTTGCTAAGAGAGAGAGAGAGAGAGAGAGAGAGAAATAGATAGATAGATAGATAGATAGATAGATAGAGAGAGAGAGATAGAGAGAGAGAGAGAGAGAGAGAGTAGGGCTCCTCTATCGACAGCGAAGCGAGCGTGGTGGTGGCGACGGTGATGGTGGTGGTAGTGGCGGCGATAGCGGTGGCGGTGGTTAAATCAAAGACAAACCACTTTAGCCAGTCGGATCGTGACGAGGGGGTTGATGGGGGTGTGGTGGCTCGAGAGGTAACGTCGGGTGGGGGTGGTATAGTCTTGTGTACATATCCGAGTATCTGGCGAAAGCTCGCTCACACTGGCGAGGACCGTGAAACGTTTGCACGCGTCTACCTCTACTATCTAGCTGTCTCTTTCCCTTTCTCTCTCTCCCTCTCTCTCTCTCTCTCTCTCTCTCTCGCACTCGTTCATTCAGGCTCGAGCGTGAAAGCTCGAAGAGGCCAGAGGGGTGCGCTCTAGTCTCTCCGGCACGCGACGTCTCGATGTGTGCGTGTGTGCGAGGAGCACGTGCGTCCGCGCAACCCCCGCGAACGGATCTGCCGGCACGCCCATTGGCCGAGGAAAGAGCTTTCCGGGTGCGCGAACCGGCCTACGCTCCGCCCACTCGAGGCGGAACAACCACCCCGCTTTCTCGCTTCTCGCTTCACGTCGCGTCGTTCCTACGACGACGACGCTTTCCTCGGGAGTACTAATAATACGCCGATATATACCACCTATTCTGCCACCATGGTTCTACGTGGGAGTTCTCGGCGCAGCTTTCACGGTCCGCGCATCGCCTCCTCGCCGAAGGAAAGACGTTGCTGATCGGCCACGCCGAGTAGCACGAAACGACTCCACTCTGCTCGTTCTGCTCGTTCTCCTTTGCAGTCACCTACATACCAACACTTCTACACACACATATCTATATATATACATATGTGTATATGTATATATGTATATACACGTATATATTTATATATATATATGTATATATACACGCACGCAGATACGCGCGCACACGCGTAAATACGCGTCTTCCCGGTGTGTTTGGTTCTCTTTCCAGTTTTTGTGATGGATTCGCGTCGATAGTGTCGTCGAGTGAAGCTACGTCCAAGAGTCGTCTTCCTCGAGAGAATGACGGAGATCGGTTAAGAATCGTTCGTATCACGGCAAAGGGTGATGTGGAGGATGCAGGAGGGTAGAATCGTGTCGCCTCTGGGACCGGTCGTCCTGCCTAGGGAGGAGGCGGACACGCGCGTTCCACTTTCGATGCCTTCGCAGGAAAGGAGGCACGTGTTGCTGCACGTACGCACTGCCGATCCTTTCCTCCGTTACGAAAACGTCAGAGGGCAACAACAAACGAGCACGGCCGGTCAACAGCAAGTACCTTCGTCCTCGCCTCCGCCTCATCAACAGCCACCGAGTTCGCTTTCGAGTCCAAGCGTAACGACGATCTCGCCGATCTTGAGAGCAGTCGCGAGGACTACCGAAGAATTGGACGGGTCCAGGAATATAGATAGGAAGAACGACGTCGACATGGAAATGGAGGAGGAGGAGGAGGAGGAGGAAGAGGACCGGAAGGAACGGGAAGCCGACGAAGAGGACGACGACGAGGACATGGAAGACGATAGGAAAACGATAGAGAGGAGAAACAGGAGTATGGGAGAGGAAGAAGAGGAGGAGGAGGAGGAACAAGAGGAGGACGACGAAGACGATAGCAGAGAAAACAGAGACGAGGAGGACGTGGAAGTTGACGTTTGCCGAGAGGAAGGTCCGGAAAGCAATCCCAGCAGTCCGGTCGACTTAACGGCACCCTCGTCGAGGGGTACCGATCAACAACTCTTTCTAAATCCCTTCGGAACCCGCATGACGCACAGTTTTTCTTGCATTCAAGGAACTGGACCAGGTGGCGGACACCACGGTGGAGTTCAAATGGCACCGCATAATACGCCGTCGGTCTACATCTCCGGTCACGTCGCCACTGGTTCCGCGGTAATGACGATTTGTTCCGGCGGAAACGCGAGCTCGCGAACCGCGACTGGAAATATAACGAGCACGACGGCGACCAACACCGTACCACCCACCACCAAGAGGTGCTTAGCATTCTCGGTTGAAAACATACTCGATCCTAACAAATTCACCGGCGGACGCGTTATCCACAATCGGGTGCAACATCGGCGCCATCGTCGATCTGGCAGCGTAAACGAAGGTGAATAATCTTTCTTACGTTCCTGGTGTCGTTTTACGTCCATTAATTTACGGCGGGTTTAAAAACGAATCGAAAATTGCTCGGTTAGGTAGTTACAACGGTTTCGAGGGTACGACGACGTCTCTTCAAATATCTTTCGGAGTAGTCTAACCGGCGAATTTATTAGCAGGAATCTACTATGAATTTACAACGACGACCTGACGCAGTTCTCGTAAATAGTTTACACAGAATTTATTTGGCAAACGAATGCTCACCGAGAAACGGAAATTAAGTCTCTCCTTTGCTCTCCCTTTCTCTCTGTCGTCGTCTCCCTTCTTCATTTTCTCCTCCGTATTTTATTAACTAATATACACATATGCCATCTTCTTCTCTCGAATCTTCATCGAATCTTCAGAGTGGTAAGTCCCTTTCGCCGGGACGGCGCCGTTTATCGTATTTTTCTCGCGTCTCTTCGTCGTTCGACACGAGGAGCTTCGCGCGTACGCCCTCTCACGCTTCTTCCTCGTTCTAACTTTAGACACTGGAAGGACGCGAGTTTCTCCACAAAGAGAGCGCGCGATTTTTCGTCCCATCGTTGGCTATTTGTGCACGCAACGTATGTTAAGCGTTCCCCCGAACCAACGTTCCTCGAAATTTCCTGTCTATCCCTCCTCTCTCTCTCTCTCTCTCTCTCTCGAACGTTCCTTATTTATCTCGATCAGGTGTCGTCCAACGGGTACGATTTATAAACTTCTTCCATATTTCGAATTATCGAATTTTAAAATGGGACCGCTAATCATGTTAATCGAGGAACCACAACAACGGCTTAGGGAGTATTACTTGCGTCGGGAAAAATTCGAAGGAATCCTCGAATGCTTATTGGCCGGACTAGCTTGCCCGAAGTAAGCGTCCCGAAGGATGCCAATTTCACAGTTGACTTTCGAATTTAATGGAGTCTGGAGGACAGATAAGCGCCAAAAAGGTATCCTTTGCCGATAAGGGCAACGAAGAAGTATCGAAAGTGGAGGAGGAGGAAGAAGAAGAAGAAGAAGAAGAAGAAGAAGAAGAGAAAGAAGAAGCAGACGAAGAAGAGGGTGAGAATTTGAAGAGAAAGAGAGATAGAGACAAAAGTGGCGGAGGGCTGTCGGAGCGTGACAAATTGCTTCGCTAATCTGCGTTAACCAGTCCTTGAACCCCCTCCTACCCCCTCCCCCTTTACTCCCCCATCATCGTCCCTTTATCCCGGCATGGGACAACGGATCAGATCAGCCCTAAACTTGTTCATCTTCCATTCCAAAAAGAAAAATAAGATCATTTCGATCGTACATACGCGAGAGCAGTGATTTGCGAGAAAAATTGCCGCTAACGTTGAATGCTAATTAATGGGAGATTTTAAGGATGGATAGAGATCGTGAAGGTGAATCCGAAGGAGGAAGCACTTTAGGCAGAAGTTACATTATGAATATTAAAGGGTGCTAATTAAATCTGAAAAGAAAGACAAAGCGGGAGAGAGAGAGAGAGAGAGAGAGAAAGAGAAAGAGAGAGGATAAATGATCGAGCGTTTAACAGAGTTTAAATCGAGTTTAACGACGAGAATTGGAAGTGGTCCAACGTTCGATGGCGACGTTTCTGTTTGAGAGACTTTTTTCAAAAAAAACCTACATTATGGCAGAGTTAGAAGAAAACGTAAAAGACAATTTTAGGGGATGGGGAGATATGATGAAACAGAGGAGATGAAAGGAAATAGAAGATGATATCCGTAGGAAAGAGGATGAGAACGGATCGATCGTACGATGAAATCGGAATTACACGATCCTCGAGCAATCCATCTTATAGGGTGGTCAGAGCTTCCTATTAAAAGTGCATCAGAGCCAGGCAGATCGGTAAAATCCGTTTCGAGCGGTGGTAGAGAGCGTGTCGAGTTTTCCGGCCCCGAATCCGCCGACGGAATAATATCGTCGGTTGTTATGATAATCGGCCGGCATCACACCGTATCGCGTCGCATCGCGCCAAGCCGCCCAGAAAATTGGCTCTTCTGCATCACAATGACTTCTCTCTCTCTCTCTCTCTCTCTCTCTCTTTGTCACACACACACACACACACACACTCCCTCCATTCTACCCCCTACTACCACTATGTCGTACTCTCTTCTTCTCTACCCCTCTCCCCCGTCGTAGCAAACTCTCCTTCTCGCGTCAGCGTCGTAGCGACTCTCGACTCGTACTTCGAAATCCATTCGCTTTCCGCTACATTTCCGAGGAAGTTTTTAATCACAGTCTATTTCTTAAATATATACCGGGTGAGCTGGCTTAAACTGGCTATTAAAATATCTTTCTATGGTATTAACAAAGAGGAAAATGTTTCGAATTCTTCGACAATTATTTACTTGGAATAGAAAAGATTTCTTTGTTGAGAATTGAACAAAGTCCGTCGAGTCGTTCAGTAGAAACGAACGTAGACTCGAAGGATGACTCGAACAAATTCAACGAAATCGAATCGACTCTCGATCATTGCCCGAACATTTGTGCTCGGTGAACGATAAAATCGCGTACCTATGGGGAATATTTACTCGCGCTTGAACGTCGTTAAACACCGGCACATTGTGTTTAATGAGGAAAACCGAGACGAGATAAGTATTCCCGAACGGCTCGAGATTTGGTTCCGTAGTCCCAAGCGTACCCCCTTAACGTACCCCTTGGGAACACGCAACCCGTCATCCCCAATCGCTTCTGTCGCCCTTCATCGTTCAAGGGAACATGAAAAAGAGCTAAGCGATATAAATGATTTCATCGTTATTCCTTGATGCCGTTAACGAGCCAATGATTTTCATTCTTTTAGGACATATACATGGCGTTACGAAAAGGAGAAAAAGAAAAAGGATGAATTTTTCTACGTCAAATCATATTAAATACAGGCTGACGTTTAAGGTAAACCAGTTCTTGAAGAATCCGCCGGTGATTCTTCCGAATCGTTGATAATGTTACTCACGGGATATCACGAAGAAAGCAATCCTTCGTGAATTGGCGCTAAATGAAAATATGGTAGAGAAAATACGAGTTGGGGAAAAAAATTATGGAGAAAATTAAAAAAGGGAATTCTTTTAACAGGTAGATCAGATTCTTCCGCGTTACACCCATAAAACACCAACGAGACGACTGGATATAGGGGGCCAAGGGAGGGATGAACTGCGAAACAGTTGCATAATTCCCTTGCTCGGTGTTGAGCCGTGCGGACGTTAACGAGTTACGAAGCTCGTTACGAGCAACGCGTTTCCCGGTAAATATGTACGAAAGAAGTACGTTCGAAACGAACCTAACCAGGAAGACTACGAATTCCGAGAAAGAGATGGAAAAGTGGAAGAGAGGTGGAGAGAGAGAAAAAGACATTTCCTTTGACGAGGAAATAGAATCGGATAACCGATAGTCCTGAGAGAGAAGGAGAGAGACAGAGACGGAGAAAAGAAGTCGTTCGAGGGACGAACAACGATATAAATTACGCAATTCAATTAAACGCGATCGATCGGTTTCGTATAGGAGGTGGAAACTCGGAAAAGAAAATGAGAGAGGACAAAAAGAAGAAAGAAAGAAATGAAGGAAGACAGAGAGAGAGAGAGAGAGAGAGAGAGAGGGAGAGAGAAAAGACTGAGGAAAATTAGAGAAAGAGAAGAAGAAAGAATAATGGGATGGAGAAAGAGAAGAGGAAGAAAAAGAAGAAGAAGAAGAAAAAAGAGGAAGAGAAACTCCTGTTGGAGGAGAAGGATGAGGAAAAGGAGAAGGAGACATGAAGGAGGATAGCCGCTCGGCGGCCTGTACGACGGAGCAAGAACGATCGCGCGTTAACGAGATACAAATCCCATTACGGCGTAAACCTTCTCGATCCGTCGCCCCCTACGGACTTTCAGCCCCC